ATCAAATTAAAACTAACATTACAAATAAAATATACTCAAAATGTTTGATGGGAAAAAAGAGGTTCACTTCATTATTTAAATTAGGTCTCTCCTAATTCTTCCCATTCCTCTAGTGCTCACTTTTAATCTACAATTTAATTAGTGGGTGACAAAAGTAGCGGGACAAAACACAATTTTCATTGACATAATAGAAAGTTCTTGAAAAACATAGATTTGGACATCATCAATCCTGGAATGGACATATTTTCAACCACTAGGTGGTATTAGTGGGGTGAGTGAGATTTGTGATCTCATTATATATTTTACAAATTTTATTTACAGAATTATATTGCGTTACGATATAAAATAAGTATTGATCTTAGCATTGGACTCAACCAGCACCGAGAATGCAAAAAATTATCCAAAACATTAAAGAACATAAGATTTTTTCAATTTAAACTGCAGAGGTTCGATGACATCTTTTAACACTTAAGTCTCCCGTCAAGCATCCGTTAAGGATTAGCTCGAATCCACTAGTATAACCCCAGATCACAACACAAAAAGTTTAATATTACAACAATTCTCAAAGTGAGAACTTAAATCGTACGAGAAACCTTTCCAAAAATTACAGAAATCAAAGTGAATTCAACTACGAAGTTCTTTATAATTCAACTTATCGAAACAAGAAATTTTTTAATTGCATTAATTATTTTATATGTATTATAATATTGTTGAACCTTACTTTGGAGCATATTCAAAAATCTTATATAAATTCACAATACAATGGAATTCTAGAGTTTGTCAATATTCCCCATTTGCATATATTCAGAAGGGTTTTGCAAGTTGATATTTTTTTTATCTTTCAACTTCAGCGGTTACAACCCCTATTTGGTAAAGATTTTTTTAGAACAATTTTTTGTGAAAATTATTTTTCTTGAAGAAAGTGTGGTTAAAATGTAGAGAAAGGTGATGTGTTTACGAGCAAATTTTTTATTAAAAAAATATTATTTGATTGGAAATGAATTTTGAGAAAAAAAAAATAAAGTTACAAATGGGGGTCAAACAGAGTATACTGTATAGAAGGAAGTCAAAATTTTCTATGATTGATTGACGAAATTGGCGCAAGTTCAAAAAGCCTTTTCAATTTTACAAGACTATCGGCTTGTTTGAAAGTGATTTTCCTCAAACTCGTTTTCAACTGTACATTCTCCTAATAAAATGATTTTAAGGTGTAATGCATAATTTTTTCCTACTTTTAACAGCACATTTTAAAACATCGCTTCCTAAAAATTTAACATGACACAGTCTATATGAATTGAAGGGTGTTTCAATATAATGGTAGAAGGGTTTAGCCTAATAAAAAATCCTTCGTAGTTCCAAATGACGGATTTATTTGATCTTTTCACTATAATTTCACATAACCAAGTCAAAATTTTATACGATGTGAATTGACAAAATCTTTATTTAATTTTACATAAAAAAAAAAACTCAAAATCAATGGTTTTTAATTCTAAATGATAACTACTAAAACTTTTTTGCCGTAAATAGCACAATAAAAGCATACAAACACAACTTTTCGTTTGGCCCCCATTATTTGAGATTTCAATTTTTTGAATACTATTTTTAAAAAAATATGTGGTTGAAAAAGAATGAAATTTTTTAAATTTACGTGTAATATTATTTTATTGGAGAATGTGTAGTTAAAAAGAAGAAAGATAGAAATGTATTATAATTTTAACGGGGCCAAACGAAACATTATAAATCACAAAATTGACCCAAAAATACTTTTTACTTCATAAAAATGACCTAAAAAACGATTAAACCTACCTCAAATGTCCATGTCCAGCCGAAGTCTGTTTTCGCCTACTATAAAGACAGTTAAATTAGGCAGAGATTTATGTCGGCATTGTTATGTTTTCTCATTTTTTTCCTTTGACCAAAAATAATTGAATAATTGATCCTCCCAATAGCAACTCCACTTGAGTATATATACCTTGGATTTTTATTATGCTTTAAGAATAGTGTGTTATAATTAGGCCAAACATGGTACAAATCAAAGACTCACACGAGACAAAAATGTTTAGCATTTAACGTGGACGCTGGTGAAGTGTAAATTAAATGCAACATTATTGATCATGTATTTGTGTATGCATACATATGAGTTAGAGCTCACCCTAATGCGACAAAGGCCTAATTAATCGAGTTGAAATTGAATTTAGAGACATCAATTTAGAAGCGAGTAATGTCATGGATGCCGAGTTGAACGGACCAAAGATCATGCTGAATTCAGACCATCTATCAAAGCACTAGTGGAAAGCCAATTTGACTAACCTAGTACTAGATGAAGTCGTAGAGCTCAATTCAAAGGACAAAAAAAAAAAGCCATCACTAGAGAATTTGAAAGTTTGTAAAGTGCACTCATCTTAGCCCGTGAAAGTGGCAAGCTCAATAAGGGCACACGACTTTAGCTTACTTTGATCGACCCCGGAAACTATGATCTTGGACGTTTAACGCCTATTTGGTTTAGATGAAAAACAATTTTTTAGTAAATTTTAATAAAAATTGATGGAATGTGTCGTGAATCTTGTGAAATGTGTGATTAAAATTAATTTTTTATTTTAACTTAAATTTTAATCTGATTTTTTAACCAAATCAAACAAGGGCTTATGTCTTAGTTATTCATATGCTTATGTATGTCATAACAAATTCTTCTTTGTACGAGTTGGATTGTTCAAGATCAGAACCACTTAAACCCTTAATTGTGTGTTTGTCTCCTATTATTGTAGAAAAAATAAGTAATGAATAGTATTTTTTGGAGAATGTGGTTGAAATTTAGAGTAACTTTATTGGTTTGTGTGTAAAATATTTTATTGGATGAATGTGTGGCGGAGAAATTTACTGTAGCAAACAATGTTTTGAAATAATGGGAGACAAACGAGACCTAACTAAGACGGCACAACCCAACCCAAGCCTAATATGTGTCGTGGTAGGTCCACGTGCTGCCTGCACTAGCCACTCAAAGGGTCGGTCCAACTAATTTTTATACCTTTATACTCGGGGGTTCGATATTAGTGAGTCATATTTTGAATTATTCTTCAATACACATATAAATACCTAATATTAAAGATTACAGTCCTTAATTGTACCTCTGAGATTCCTTAAGAATAACTAAATACAAAATAAAAAGTGGTTCTTTAAACAAGCGATTAGAATCCTATGCGAGTTTAGAGATAAGTTAATTATTGACGAATTAGTTATTAAGTTCTTGTTTGGTTTGGATTAAAATTAAATTAAAATTTTAAGTGAAAATGAATAATTAATTTTAATCATACATTTCATCAGCTTTGATCAAAATTACTACAAATCTATTTTTAATTTACACCAAATAGGGGCTAACTTAACATGTTCATCAATTAATTAATGGATTATTCTAGTGGTACATCACCACTTACATAAGAGTGTCCATAATGGGCACATGACACCTCCTCATTGGAGGAAGTGCCGACCCCACCGACCCTCCTTCCAATGAGGAGGCGCCGGTTGTCCATTATGGACACCCCGATATAAGAGGTGATATACCTTTAGCATCTCCCTTAATTAATAACTAATCCCAGTGATGTCACTGACTAATATGAGAAGGGAGGGGAGGGGACCCATAAATCCAACATGATAAAATGGAGGGACTCACTCAATAATCCAAATAAGCTGATTCTGAATTGACTATAGGCAAGAGACAAAAAGTACTCAATTACATTGGAGAAATTTGGGATGGAAACCCATAAAATTTTTGTCCTCATTTTTGTTTTGTCATTATGGTATTTTTGTAGTTGAGCAAAACAAGAAGGTCTACTTTGATCTTGGTTGGATTTTTAGTAGCCAGTTTTATCTTAATACAATACAACAATAAAAAAACGCTGCTAATAAATTACTTATTATGGCCATGTTTGTTTCGGATTAAAATCAGATTTTAATTTAAATCAAAATCAAACAATCAAATATTAACCACATCTTTCATGGATCTCATGACTCTTCAACCAAACATTTCAAAAACTTCTATCACAATTTACTAAAAATATAATTTTAATTCCCACCAAACACCCACTAGATTGTGTTTGTTGATATTCACATGCAGAAAGAGTCATTGGGAGAAGCTAAAGAACGATCAAAGAAATGACAAATGTTCACGCAAGTTTCTATATAAGATGAAACACGGATAGATATGATTTGTATTGCAATAACAGATTCAATACACAACCAATTTTTAATGACGAAAGCAGTCATATAATCATTAAGTCGTCATTTGTCCCTCCCTCGTGAGAATATACAACACCAAAACTGTCGGAAAACATAATTTGAATTGAGCACTAGACCTTTGTCGGCCTGGTTGCGGGAGTTCCCAGTGAAACCTTAGCAATGTGTGGGGGGGTTTCCATTCCGACCATTCTCACACTCAACTATAACCGTAAGTTCAATGATATTGAACTTGAACAACTAATGTAAATGAAAGATTCTTTGGCGCTCTAGGTTTGGGGAAGTTATAGACACATTTTCATACTTAGTATCTAGAGTACTTCATTTAATTTCCTTTGTAATATTGGACTTTGACAGTATTTATCATACACTTCAAAGATAAATAGTAGTGTCTTATTCAATAAGACAGACAACACAATATTAAACAGTATTGAGGAAAAAAATTAAATACATTATCTATTGTACTATTCAATTCAATTATGTCCAAAGGACATTCCAAACTCAAGAAAATTCTTCAATTTTGATGCTTTCATCAAGTTAAAGTTGCACAAAATTGATGGATCACATTACTAAATTTTTATACAGGGAATCTTAGACTAAGATCTCTACTGAAGATCAAACTATACAACTTGCAACTGCAAAACATGCAGGCTGCTTTTTTTTTTATTACTAGCTTTCTTCTTCACCCCTATTCTAAAGTGTCCATCAACAAAAACAAGCTGTAAAGTTATTGAAAAAGAAAAGAAAAGAAAGGAGAGAGTGGACGTTTTTCACACTTTGAGAGCATTGTCTTCACTTTCAACAGATTCCTTCATACTTTCCCCAGTCTTTTGACTAAGAGCTCCAACTTCCTCTGCGTCGAAGCTCGAGTGGACACTGTATAGAACATAAACAAGCACCGAGAGGCCTGAAAAGAATCCAAATCGGACATAGGATGCTCTATCAAGAGAACCCAACAAGAATATGTTAAGGAAGATGGATATGGAAGGAATCCATGGCATCAAAGGGACCCCCCAAAATTCAGGCTTTCGAGCTTGTGGGACCATGAAATGGAATAATTGTAGAACTCCGATTGCCAAAGTGATACAAGCCCCGAGCATGAAGGCACTGGGCTTACCCGATGGCCCGAAATGCCAGAGGAGGGTAAACATGACAGATGTGAGAGTAAAACAAGACAGGAACGAAATGGTTGGCCACGGATTTGTCGTTCCCACAGTAACATAACGCCTATATATCACCGCATTTGCCACCATGTAGAAGACAAATAGCGTCCCAATGGATATGAGATTCAGTAGGATGTTTAGATCAGTAAAAAGGGCAATAGCTGCTGTGAAGATTCCTGAAGAGAATTCCCCAAGTATGAGTATATATGAAAAAGTTAACAAGAAAAAAGAGAGAATAACAAGAAAGAAGTAAGAAAGATCAAATATCGAGCATCCGTGAAAAAAATACATACATACAAAATGGTAAGTAGAAAAATGGGATGGTGACAACCACAGAAGGAACTTGATGATAGGAATAATTATCTAATGGTGTCGACAAAATCTTTGATCACACAATCTTTAAAAGTAAGTTTGGAGCATCAATGAATGAACAGCATTTCCACCATTCTCCTAGTGATCCTATATACTAGTCATCACTCTTAGCTCTACCAATTTGAGAAGAATCATATGATCTTTCCCTTTCGCAAAAGTCAAGGATAAACTTTTATTGATCAGCTAAAGATTGACATCATCTCTTACTGTATTTTCATTTTTATTAGGTGAGGTCCGCCTATCAATATCAAAAATGCTAAAGCAATAGTTTCCTCCACCAACTTAAAATTTACAATAACAAATTTCATCCAAAAAGTTAATCTTATGCTCATTATGATTTATTTCTTTCCCAAAAGATTTTTCTCCCAGAAATTGAGACTTTCCCTTGCTTCGGCAATACTTTCTCATAAGCAGCCTTGCCTACATCACTTCACATCACTCGACTCCTAAACGATGAAAGACAAGATCAGAGAATATTGATCCCATACTATGAATTTTACTAAAAACAGTACTTAGTAAATAATAGAGCTAGAGTTATTTGGCATATTCTCCCATGAAATCACTTCACATACTACACAACTATATGAATTATGAACAGTATTCTGAGTACAACTTGTTTGTTTTAGCCCACTAGCAAGTTGCATAGACTTATCAGTGACAGAAAGAAGTCAGATTTATGGAAGAACACTAGAATGGTCCCAACCAAAAATAGTCAAGTTCTAACTCCAATAGTTCAACCTCCAAGGAATTTCAACGTGTACTTGCACCAAAAATTGGCCCCACAAGACAAAAATTAGTTGAATGAGAATCAAAATCTAAAGATAAACCATAACCCCGTATTCATACCTAGGCTTCTAACTGAAACGGTACTAAATGGACCCAAAATCCTTGAGTTTCACATCGATTTGCCAGCTTATAAGTAAATTGTACACCGTGTCTTAACTCTACACAAAGGTGCCAAAGTAAGAATGATTTTCATTCAAGACAAGACAACTTTACATTAATTCTTGACGCGCCAAGTTCACGTCAGTTGATTGACTTATGAGTACAATGTATACCATCTCTTAACTCTTATAGGGCCAATTTAAGAATGGCTTTCATTCAAGACAAGACGACTTTTTATTCTTGACACGCTCGGGTCCACCTTGACTATAAGCAGTATAGGCGGCCCCGCTTAGGTGAGGGCCCTATTATATTAATGCTTTCAATATATATAGGTAAAAACTCATAAAATGTATATAGAAGGCTTCATATGAAGTAGGCCTAAAGTTCCAAAAATCTCAAGACTCGCCTCAGCCTTGGGTCCACATCAGTTGGTGGACTTAATGAGTACTTTGTATACCCTCTAGAGGCTCCAATTTAAGAACGGAATTCATTTAAGACAAAATATTTTTAGAATAAAGCTGGTTTGCCAGAAAGATTTTGCCCACCTGGATGACCTCACCTCACATGGGGTGTGGGACCGACGTGGGATCGAGGTGAAATAAAAAATGAAAAAAATGCTTCCCTCCCCCAATGTGTGTGGTCTGTCAAGGAAGGTGTGACACCCTCTCTAGCACACCAGCTCGGTTGACATTTTTATGTTAATTCTTGACGCGCTTGAGCCCCACATCAGTTGCGAACTTTTAAGTACATAGTTCTAACAATGGCTAATGAGTAAACAGAAAGATCGAAAGAGGACTCAGTTCCAGTATAAGACAGTCAAACACAGACAAAAAAAAAAAAGTGCAAGTAAATGTAAGCAAGGACATTAAGAAAAAAGGCAAGATTTAGTAAGTGGGGCAACATACCAAGGAAGACGGAGGCATTAACAGGCGTAGAAGTCTTAGGATGGACCCTTGCAAACCATGAAGGGAGCACGCATGACCGTCCGATTACACACATGTAGCGTGCCTGCCCCAACATCGCAACCAAAAGCGACGTCAAAATACCAAAACTGGCCCCCACTCCGATCACATTCGACACCCACCTCCACCCCGCGGATCCCACCTTAAACGCCCCAGAAAACGGCGAGTCTGGATCGATCTGTGTCATAAATATATAATTAATTACTGTTTGATATTCACATACACTAGGCATAAAAAATAACTCCAATTTGTTGATAATGACGACATTATTATCATCACCACTTTCTTGAAAATCTGCACTGCAGGATTGTACCTAATGAATTAAATACTGAATTAAATTATTTTAGTCATTCAAAAACTGGTCTAGAAAAGAATAATTACCATGTCATAAGGGAGAAGGGAGGACATTGAAGCAGCCATTAAGCAGTAAAGAACAGTGACGATGGTAACCGAGCCTGAAACTCCGACTGGGATATCCTTAACCGGATTTTTGACCTCTTCAGCCATCGTGGAAACGGCGTCGTAACCGATATAGCTCACATACACCACAGAAGCGCCATTAAACACACCAGAAGCACCAAATGGGAAAAACCCGCCAGGATTTTTGGGGTTTTCGGGTTCAGTGAAATTCTTCCACTCACCTCTCCAGAACCCAATCACTATTACGAAAACTATGAACAAAATGTGTAGAACAGTTAAAACCATGTTTAACCATGAGCTCTCTCTAGTACTGCAAAAACCCAGGAAAAAATGAAATTAATTTAATGAGGCTTAACTAAAGTGAAAATGATGACGAAATATTGGAATTTTAGAAAATTTACGATGTGTGTACCTGTAGCAGATTACGAGAGTGAGTAGTAGGACCACGGCCACTGCAACAATGTCAATTTCATTGTACCCTTTTGGTAGGCCATCGATGGTGAACCTTAAATGGGTATTTGATATTCCCAGGGCTGTACATAAATAGGCTGTGAATCCTCTGGCCGCCGCCGCATTTGATAGTACGTAGTCTATTATCAGATTCGCACCGGTTAAGAAGGCCAAGAATTCACCTGCAATGACACATATGCATTTAAGATGAGGAAGAGGAAAAGGTTTTGATTAGTTACTGAAATATGAACGCGTTGTATATGAAAATGTAACGGACCAAAAGTTACGCGTATGTAGCTAAACGCGCCGCCGGCGACAGGGAGGTCCACGGCGAATTCTGTGTAGCAGAAAGCAGAGAGTAGAGCGCAGAGGCCAGCAATGGCGTAAGAGAGGATGACAGAAGGGCCAGCATATTTTCGACTGGCGTTGCCGGTGGTGACAAATACTCCGGCACCGACCATACCGCCGATGCCGAATCCCATTAAGTCATACCACCGGAGGCTTCTTTTCATCTCCGTTCCGGACCTGGCTCGAACCCGTCTCGTCTCTTCAAAAGAAGTCGAGACCGAGCATGCCCTTCGAGCCAACCTTTTCGGAGTATTCGAGAGTGCTCGGATATAGGAGTTAAGGCTAGAGAAAGAAGAGACATGGCTACGGCTATCCATAAGAACCATCACACTACTCTCTCTTCTCCTCTCTTTATATTTATGTAAATCTTTTGAGTGCTAAGAGTGCAGAATGCGTGCCACCGTTTCTTGCTTTCTTGGGAAGAGATGAGGACAGGGAGAACGGCTATATATTGAGTTCACAAAGTTCACACCGGGCTGGTTGGATGGGGTGGGTGGGGTGAATTGTGAGAGACTCACAAAGAGACTGATATTGGTTGGATGGTAAACAAACGTCCACTTGGTTTATGGGAGGAACCGAAACTTTTGAGGGTCCCCAAGATTGTTTTCATAGGGACATTATGGGATTGGATCAATATTAATTTTAATTTTAGTACTACAACGGAATTAGTGTTATCACGTGAACTAATGTTAAATGCAACGTAACATCATTCCTAAAGTTCCTGAATGATTATAGTTTTATGAGGAATAATGGCATAGAGTCGAAACAAAAACTTAAATATGTAACTTATAAGTTTGTTGGACGTAGTTAATTTTTTTTCAGAGAATTATTGAAATAATGACCTGAAATGAAATATCTAGAATCACTCGCTAATGTAATCCAGGTAAAATTTTCAGCCTAATATTCCTCATCTTCTTAAAGGAGAAATCCTGTGCATTAATCTAGAAGGTCAAAAAATTCTCATGAAAAGTATTTTAATATATGAAGATTATTCATTCTCATAACTATAAAATGGACTTTGTGAAAGTTCTCCATACAGAATTGGTAAAGTATTAACGGAACTGTCGTTACTGCGTTTAAAATCTAGTAACATAATGTTGACTTGGATTGATGCTAATAATCTTGAAAGATAAGGAATCGATGCTAGTAATCTTGAATAAAAAGGCCAAGAATGATGAGGAGATTAAAAGAAGTGTGATTTTTTCTTCAAGAACGTGTAATCAGTAGTCGGCAATAATAAAAGAAAAGATTAATAATTAAATTAATTCCATTTGAGGAATAATATAAGTATCCATGAATAATGATAACATGGGATTTACAATGATTTTTTTTTTTTGTTTTTTGAATACCTCGACAATTACTTTTAAGTGGGCGAGTAATGTGTGGACCAACTATTTGGAAGTTATGAGGATAAGCATTTGTTTGGAAGATGTTAGGATAAGATTAGTCCAATGGTCAATGAGGTAAATAAACACTTTTTCAAAAGATAATTGAAAATACTCAAGGACCACAAGAGATCATCCGAATTAAATATAACTTATTTTGTGGTTAAAGCGTCGACCATACTAAAAAAATTGAATTTAATTGGCATTAGTCGACTCTCCACAATTTACGCTAGACTAAACTCACTCACTCATAATTTGTTTGTCTAACCGTTCTTCTCTTCTCCTCGACTGTGATTTCTTCAATTTTTAGCAGACATTTATTTTTGGGATAGCAAAAAAACTCGTTCAACATAGTACCCATGGACCCTGCCCCCGAGGGATAGGGCAATGGTCATTACCCTGAAGTGGGTACAGGAAACATAGTTCTCACCCCACGACCCTCCACGTTTTAAGTTAATTTTAATTTTAAGTTTTTTTATCGAACAAAAATAATAAATTTATCATCATTTAAAGAGAATATAAGTTATTTTTAACAAATTAGTAAAAAAATAATAATATTTACTAACTAAAGATATAAAATCAATAAATAAAAAATAAAAAGAAAAACCCCCGTCCCGTTCCGCTTTAATCGAGAATAAGGATGGGGTAAGATAACAAAAATACCCGACGGGATAAGGGTGGAAATGGCCGCCCCGTCCCATACCCACCCCGTTGTCATCCCTAATTTATTTATTTTGTGAATAAGATTACACAAGAAAAACATACAAGACTTTTATTATTATTATTATTATTATTATTATTTATTTTTTTTGTGTTAAAGAAAATAATTAGGGTCATGTTTAGACAAACTGCCGCAGCTGTTGCATATGATCACGTGAATCTCATCATGCTAATTATAAGAGGAGTGCTCATACAAATCTCACTTCATCTTTCTTATATTATACTCTATTGTCATGCCTAAACTTGCAAATACAATTTTATAGTATTTAATAAAAATTCAAAGGATTATGCTACTTGTACATAAAAATGGTACACAAAATGGTGTAGAGGGAAAAAATTGGATGGAAAAATTAACTGTGTTTCAAATTGTCAAATGGTAGAGTGACGTGTGGCATTATGTAATCCCTTATATAAACATTTATGTACATGTAGCAAGACCCAAATTCAAAATAGAAAATCATTTTTTAAATTACTAAATAACAATTTCTGAAGAGATTTTTTTTTATATTAAACTGCCGAAATCTCAATAATATTTTTTTCAAACTAAAATTTTATTTAAAAAAAAAAATTGAATAATTTTAGTCCAAAATCTTGCGAAGAGCAAAAGAAGAAAGAATATCAAATTGTTGATATACAGATGTATTAATAAAACGACCGAACAGGGAGAAAAGAATTCATGAGCACCTGATTCTCTTAGAACTTGAGGTTGAATTGCATTTGCATGCAGTAAGGACACGACTACGGCTTCGTAAAGGGTAACACATAAATTCAATCCTGACAAAAGTGGACATTGTGATTGCGCTTGAAATTATTTTGAAAGGCAGAAGGGGATCATGGCATGTTTGGTATATTGTGGAAGATATCAAGCAGCTATAGAGGCAATTACAGGGCGAATGATCCCAAGTTTTCGTGAGAGAAATGAAGTGACTCGGTTGCTAGCTAGCCAGCCAATGAAAGGTTGAATCACGATGGATAGATGCTCTTTTAACCACATGAAGAAAAACTTAAGGTATTGTTTCAAATGGACCACTTGAAACTTATATATGTAAGGTATCAAAATTTTGATTAAATGTTGTGATCGATTGTGAAAGTTTGTTCATTACATTCACTATAAGGGAGGTAGTACCTCCTTTCTTTTCTTTTTTTAATTGTTCTCAAATCTCTCCTCTACCGATATAAATTTTGGAAGTAGGGTTGGGCACATCTCCTCCCATGAGTGGATTAGTATGGTGTTAGAGCCAATAAAAGACATCAATCCAAGTTTTGTTGTCATCCCTTTATAATTAGGGTAAAGCCATTTGTACAGAAAATGGTGTAGTCATCCCTTTATAATTAGGGTAAAGTCGTTTATTGGTTTAAATACAACTAAAAAATTTTAAGGGATTTTGATAAAAATTAATTGTAAAATTGAACTTAAAATTTAAGTCATATTTTAGCTGAACCAAACGGGGGCTGAATATACTCTTCAATTAAAGTTTAAACCCATGTTTGAGGCATATTGAAATTCTCATTATCATTCTTCTACTCATTTTCAAACACACATTTTTCAATAAAAAAATATTTTTCCATCACATCAATAACTTCTCATTCTTTTCCAACCACACATTCTCTATTAATCTACTGTTCCAAAATAATGTAGCTCAAACACATCCTAAACTTCTGTATGAGATGGTTAACAACATGCTATTAGATATTTGTGGAATACGACTATTCTAGAGGTTAATGGAAAATTCGGATCAGCATTGGACACATTAAGGGCCATTAGACAATAAATCAATGAAATAAAGACGACCAATTATCTTTGCACTTCATGCTTATAACTTTCGTTTTGTCTTCATAATAACCCAATTATATCGAAATTGATATATTGCACCATTCACCAATACTAGTGTCTATTTTATTAACTTTTAGGTAATTTCAATATAAATAATTAGAAACAAATTAGATTGGATTGAAAAAGTTGATTAAGATCTTAGTGAGATCACCATTACTTCATTAGCTAATCATACAACTATAGAAAGGTGGTAGGAATAGGACACACCTCATTATAGTAAAGCACCATTAAGTGACAAAATGAAGGTATTTAAACATAAATTTATATAATTTGCAAAATCAACAAAAGGGGAATAGAAATTTAATTTAATTTACCAAAATCTCACCTCTTCGAACAATTGTTCTTGATGACGCCACAATTTTATTTTTTCCAGTACTGTTAGGGCCTGTTTGGGAGTTTTTCATCGATTTTTATCTTTTTGGATGATGTTGTTTATAAGTTATTAAGAAAATTGGAGGTTATTAATTTTTTTAGAGCTTGGATTTTGGATTGTTTAAAAATCACTCAAAGTTAGTGTAGTGTAATTTGGAACGTATTTTCCAACCCCAAAATTGATGATTTTTGGGCTATTCAAATTTTCTTACAATTTTTCGTTCAATAAAACAATTATTTTTAACACATTTGTTTTTTCAAAACCATCTTGTAAATAAAAATACAATAACTAAAATTTATTTATATGCAAAAAGTTACTTTATAACTAAAAAATTAAATTATAAATAAAAATTTATTTATAAGATAAAAATAACTTTTGTGTAAAAAAATTGCTTATAAACTAAAAAGTATTACTAATAACACAAAATTTACTTACAAAATATGAAAAAAAAATTAGTTATGTGTAAAAAATTATTGCCAAGTACAAAATTAACTTATAAGCAAAAAATTAATTATAACTTAAGAATTTAAATATAAGTAATTATTTATATTTAAGTTAAAAATCAATTATATGTAAATTACTTATAGGTAAAATATCGTTTATAAATAAAAAATTCATACAAAATTCTCGAGCATGGATTGAATTATTTTAAAAAATTGCTACTAAAAATCACACAAAAATGGACTCCTCATAAACGACCAAAATCGATACTTTAAAAAAAAATCATATATGATACCTGAATTGAGCAGGAATGAACATTATTAAAAATAAACAAATGAAATTAAAATCATGTCATATGCAGGGGCGGACGCATACAATTAAAGTTAGGAGGGCACACTCGAACTTGCAAAAAAGTTGGGAGAATTTTTACAATAGAAAATTTATATCCAAAAAAATATACCCCATTTAATTTTGCATCCAAAAATTTACAAGAAATATGACTTTTTCGGATGTAAAATTTCAAAATTTTTTTATGTAATATCCCATATAAATTTTCTAATAAAA